TCCCCCAGGATTATAGTGAAAGTAGACTCGCGGAGAATCTACCCCACTCTCTTACCACTCCCACACCGGGACCCGGTGTCAAGACGAAAGTCAGGAAGGCCAGAGATGGGGGAGGGTGCAGGCGGCTGGCGCGACCAACGCTCAACATGCGTATCAACAGCACGCCCCACCAGGTAGGCTCCCGACTGGGAGCGGCTAAACCGTGTCTGAATGGCAAGATAAAATCAAGACAACGAAAGGTAGGCGTAGATGCGTTGACAAGCATGACGTGCGTTTCTCTCGAACACATGCAAGACGAAAGTTGTGAACATGATCAGATCCAGCGCGGCATGCCAAGAGTTAATGTTGCACTCATTGGTAAAAAAAAACTACTCAACTGACGTGAAGACTGACGTGGCATCACTATGCTTAGTGTACCAAACAGGGAACAGTAGGAAAAGGTGATGACTAAGACGGTAAAACAAACTTCTGTCTAAATTTATTGCACAGAAGAAGCCTTGACAGCAAGTTCAGCTGGTAGAAAAGTTGAGCGCAAAACGCTTGCCCAATTAAGAGGCATCTCATCTTCTTCCGATTGTGGTGGTGGTAGCAAAATGTTAGGACACGGCCTGATGCTTGGAATCGTATGCGAAATTGACTGAACAGAACACTATCAGCTAAGTCAGGTTCATCGCAAAAACTGCGTGCCCTTACAGCATCTCCTGCAGGTGACTAATATTCTGTTCGATCCGCTCCAAGAAGAAAGTTCCAGAAGAGTCAAGCGATTTCTCGCGGACCAATGGACCAATCAGACCCTATGGAAGCACGGTGATCGCACAAACAATGTGGGACACTGTCAACCGCGCGTCCATAACATGCAGCGTGTGGGGGGTGTGCGTGTGTGCTTTTCTGTAGAGCATTCTCAACACAAACACATGCTGTTTTATCTAAGGATAAAAACGCAAACCGAGCGGAGGGAAGGGGGAGCAAAGCTCGCGACAAAAACCTGGGAAGTCAGCTGCGGCAGCGCCTCCTCCTCTGGGGCGGGTGATTGACACTCCAGAGCCTCCATACCAATCTCCGAGGGGGATCGAACAAAGGTTACTGGAGCACCCTCTTCAGGTGCAGTGTCCGCGGGTTGGGATGCCTCGGACGAGGGCTGTTGGACCAGGTGGTCCTTCAGACTGCAGACACTTCCGCTGATGTCCGCCTCGGGGTCCTGCTGTGGAGGTAACTTGCTGCCGTCCGTTGGCACCGCTGTTTAAGAAAAGAACAAAAAGGGGGAGGGCATAGTGTTAGGAGTTAAGCCTGACCAAATTCTAGCAACATTTGGAGGTTTTCCTGAGGCGCGTTGCCTGCCACAATGTATTTGATTCCTCGCTCTGACCGCCTACACGCGATGACTATCTACGCGCGCCTACTGGTCGCAGTTATCCCAATGCGGCCAATCAGGCCGCAAGAGAAGGCACTTGATAAACCCTTTTAAGCCACTGTCACCTCTCAGGCGGTGAGTTGCACACACGGACTGCGAGGACACCACCAGTCCGGTCCCTATTGCCGGGCAGTAGCCCCGAGGAGGGGACACAAAGGCGCACTGGAAATCAACCAGCGGCAACAGCCACCCGAGAAAGCAATTCCGGGTTTTGTACACAATAGCCCCTTCTCTGGGTGGAATCCAAAGTTATGCGCTTCTTATTGTGTTCTTCCTTGGGGATTCCAACGGCCGTAATTAGACGGTGACACATGTCAGATGTCATCGTTACAACAAACAGTTCTGAGAAATTATGATCTAAATAAAAAATACCGAATACTTGATCACATACCATCAGCGACTGATCTCATAATATGTATACTGAAGTTCTGAAAAGTCGGAAGAACGTGCACCGGGAGGGCGTTATTAGAGGTTGGACGATTCCGGTAGTTGTGTAACCCATCCATCTTCATTAAGGCTTCCAGCTTTTTTGCGAGGCCGGTTTCTTCTGTGACAAGAACTAAAAATCACTTTTACATTTTCAATAAGTTAAAGGTCTGCCCTGTTAGGAACTTAGCCTCACCGAATGCCAGCAACTTTGCTACTGCCACAATGATTCCTTTGTCAATGCGGACTGCCTACGAGGTCATATGCCTCTGCTGGTGACTGTTCCCATTCGATGACCTTAAACTACTGGACTGGACAC